AAATCTCCCTCAGATATCAGGAATTTTCTGGGATTGGCAGGGGACTACCGGAGATTCAGACATGATTTCTCCAAGATTGCAGTACCCCTCACTCGTCTGACGAGGAAGGGGGTGGATTTCCGGTGGGGCCCTGAGCAACAGAGGGCGTTTGAGACCCTCCGTCAGCGTTTGTGTGAGGCTCCAGTTTTGACACTCCCGGAGGGAGTTGAGGATTTTGTGGTGTTCTGTGATGCATCCATCACAGGTTTAGGGGCGGTGCTCATGCAAATAGTATGGGTGATAGCCTACGCATCACGGCAGCTGAAGCCACATGAGACGAGATACCCTACGCATGATTTAGAGCTAGGAGCGGTGGTGTTCGCTCTCAAGATATGGAGACATTACCTATATGGGGTCCGTTGTACCATTTACACGGATCACAAGAGCTTGAGGCATATCATGGATCATCCGAACCTGAACATGTGGCAGCGCAGGTGGCTGGATGTAGTCAAGGACTACGATTGCGAGATCCTTTACCACCCCGGTAAGGCGAATGTGGTGGCGGACGCTCTGAGCCACAAGTTAGCTGGGACTTCCACCCCAGCGAGATGTATAAGGATAGCAGTGGATTCCCCGCTGGTGAGTTTGATCAGAGATGCTCAGGTGGAGGGCATGCGACCAGAGAACTGGAAACTGGAGAGGATCAGGGGCGAGAACGCCCGGTTTGTGCAGGATAGTCGGGGGTTGTTGACCCGATGCGGTCGGGTATGGGTACCGATGTCTGGTGGGTCAGACAGACAGTCATGGAGGAGGCTCATAAGTCTCACTTCTCTATTCACCCCGGGGCCACCAAGATGTACCGGGATTTGAGTTTGAGCTACTGGTGGCCGTGCATGAAACGAGAAATTGCTTGGTATGTCGAGAGATGCTTGACCTGTAGGATGGTCAAGGCCGAGCATCAGAGGCCGTATGACAAGCTGCAGCCCCTGGAGATCCCCATGTGGAAATGGGAACAGATCACGATGGATTTTATTACCAAGTTGCCGAGAACGGCGAAGGGGTTTGATGCTATATGGGTCATCGTGGATCGATTGACCAAGAGTGCCCATTTCTTGGCCATACGGGAGAGTTAATCGGCCGAGAAGTTGGCCGACGTGTATGTCCACGAGATCGTGGCTCGCCATGGGCTTCCGGTCTCTATCATCTCTGACTGGGACGTTAGGTTTACCTCCCGTTTCTGGCAGAAGTTCCACGAGGAACTGGGCACGCGGCTGTACTTTAGTACAACATTACATCCGCAGACCGACGGTCAGAGCGAGTGGAACATACGGACCCTCGAGTACATGTTGAGGGCTGGGATTCTCATCTACCCCTTGCAGAGTTCGCCTACAGCAACAGCTACCATTCCAACATTGGCGCTCCGCCTTTTGAGCTGTTGTATGGGCGGAGATGTCGCACCCCAGTTTGTTGGGGTGAGGTCGGACACAGGGTGATGGGACGGACGGAAGTAGTCTTGCAGACTACCGACAAGATTCAGCAGATTAGGGAGCGACTGTAGACCGCTCAGAGTTGGCAGAAGAGTTACACCGACAGACGCCGATCTGAGCTAGAATTTCATGTGGGTGATATGGTTCTCCTGAAGGTCTCACCCTGGAAGGGTGTGATCCGCTTTAGGAAGAGGGGAAAATTGGGTCCCCGTTACATTGGGTCGTTCAGGATCATTTCCAGGGTTGGCAAGGTGGCTTAAAGGCTAGAGCTACCGGAGGAGCTTAGTCGGATCCACAGCACTTTCCACGTTTCGCAGTTGCGAAAGTGCATTATGTATCAGGAGGAATTGGTGTCACTAGATGATATTCAGGTCGATGAGCGCCTGAATTACGTGGAGAGGCCTGTGGCCATACTGGAGAGGAAGATGAAAGTTCTGAGGAACAAGGAGATACCTTTGGTGAAGGTACAATGGGAGCATCGTAGGGGGTCCGAGTGGACGTGGGAGCCAGAGGCAGAGATGCGGGAGCACTATTCGGAGCTGTTCGCCCGGCAGACTTCGAGGACGAAGTCTAGTTCAAGTGGGGGAGAATTATAACGCCCCAATTCTCAGGTATTGATTTTAAATAATAATTTTATTGGATTCTCAATCTACTCGACGAGTTTGTTGCCCTACTCGTCGAGTAGCAGCGGTTTGGTCCATGAGTTTTAGTGACCTACTCGCCGAGTCTAAGAAGAGACTCGAGGAGTAGGAGCTGGCAGATGAAAACCTAAATTCGGGGTATTGCACCCTATTTAAAGGATCATTGGCCTCATCAGCCTCCCCTTACAGCCTATTGATAATCCAGAAACCATAATTCGTGTGAGTGTGCTCCATTTGTGTATTCTTAAGCTTTGGAAGAGGATCTTTGGAGAGGAGATCTTGGAGAGCAAGTATCTAGAAGCAAGGGAACGTGTGGGATCTGAAATCTATCTTAATGGTATCCTTTGGAAGGTATCAAATCACTATCTTGACCTCATTTTATTTCATTTCTAGATCTCTTTTGGGTAAATTTTAGGGATTTTCTAGTATGTTTGGAAGCTTTTCTTGTGTATAAGCTAAGATCTGAAGTTGTAACTTCAGATCTGAACTCTCTTGGGCCTTTAAGTCTATAAAGCTTCCAACTTTAGCAAAGATGAGACTCTCCCTAGGTGCAAACCTCCATTTACAAGCTTAGTTTGTCATTTTAAGACTTTAGGGCCTTTCATGCATGTAAAGTTTGCAACTTTACATGATAAACATGCCTTGGGAAGTTGGATCTACAATATGGAGCTTTAGCATGGCTTAAAAAGCCACTGTATGGATGAAGTACTGAATGGACTCGGCGAGTCGGATGAACGACTCGGCGAGTCCGATGAAGATTGCCTTGGGCTCGGCGAGTCAGTCGAATGACTCGGCGAGTCGGCTAGGGTTTTCCCAACCTTTGGACACGTATGAACCCAACGAGTTTTAAAGGGGAAACTCGACGAGTTGGCTAAGGAGTTTGCGGCCACTGACATTAGGAACTCGACGAGTCGCTCAAGTGACTCGGCGAGTTAGCGAGTTATGCAAGGAACTCGGCGAGTGGTTGGTTGTACTCGACGAGTTGAGGTCAACATAGACTGTTGACTTTGACAGTTGACTTTGACTTTGACCAAGGGTTGACTATTGGACTTATGGGGTATTTTGGGAAATTGGAAATTTACAAGCATGGTTCTATGGTGCATTCAGGTGGTGGAGTTTTACCGGCAATCCAAGAGCTTGAGTTTATCTTCGAGTTGACAGTGCGAGGTGAGTTACCTCACTATACTAAGGGGTCTAAGGCACCAAGGTCAGCCCATTGGATATGTTATCATAGCAGTGTTAGATGTCGAGTACGAGTTAGTGTTGCATGCTAGTGGTTATGCCAGTTAGCTAGGTCTGTAGGACAACATATGTTGTTATATGATTATCTGCATGCTCAGTAGTTATGTTATATGTTGATATATTATGTGGGGTGGGTTGAGGTGACACTGCTCTGTGCGGTAACCAACAAACCTGGGAGCATTCCAGATACGAGCTGAGGGCCAGGTGGGGCATGCCAGACTCGTACTGTGGGCTCGGGAGCATTCCAGATACGAGTTGAGGGAGACTCATATTGTGGGCTCGATGGCGATCCCGATGTGAGCTGTGGGCCCGGAAGGCAATCCAGACTCACACTGTGGGCCCAGAGGTAATCCAATCTGTAAAGTTGTGGACCCGGTACATGCTGTTATTTGTATATGTATTATGTGCAATGTATCGGTATTTTGGGGGAACTCACTAAGCCTCGGGCTTACAGTTTCAGTTTATTGTTTCAGGTACATTAGGGGATCGCGGCAAGACGAATGCGTGATCGTACAGCTCCTCATGTTTTATTTATGTTTCTGGGATGAACTCTGATATTAGACTATTTTGAAAACAAATTTGTAATGCCTATTGGTTTTAAATGTTTTGAAAAGTTTTAAATTGTCTTGAATTTTTATGGGTGTTACAAGTGTCATTTTATAATTTTTAGGGTGAGGGTTGTAATTTGTGTTCAATATGAAACAGGGTCTGCTTCTTTTATATTGTTTGACCGTCATGTTAAAGATGTTATTCATCGTGGTAATCAGTGGCTGATGGAAAAAATATCAAAGACAACGTTAATTTTTTTAATCGTCAACTCGTCTCTTATTTTGTTTTATAATATTAATTTTGTTTAATATATGTATTGAAGAATTGAATAAATTCATTTTAACCCATTAATGCATTCAATTCTTTTTTAGCATAAAAGGTTGTCTATAAATATGTCCTTCAACGATTTTGTACTTTTTTATACGTTTAACGCGGGTTATAATCTACTATATATATAAACAATAAAAGTTATAAATACGTTATATAAATGTTAAAAGATTTTACGGAGACATTTAGGATAACCCTATGGCGATTGGAGGAGTATGATACTTAAAGATTCTTAATATTCCTTACTTATTATATCAATAAGAAATATATAAATCTTTTTTGCTTGATATATGAATAAATCATCGGTATAGCTAGAAATATAAGAAATATATAAATCATCGGTATAGCTATAAATCTGTTTTGCTTGATATATGAATAAATTGGAAATAAAGAACCTTAATAATTAACAAATTTATGGTTGCATATGTATGAAAACGATTATGGTTAAAAGAAACTCCAATTTGGTGTTCGAAGAAATATTTAGATGAACTTTAAAATGTTTAAAAAAGAATTATTGTGACGGTTTGAAAATTGAAGCAAAAAAGTCGAGTCAAGCTTGAGTTTATGAAGCGAGTAAAAGACGAATGCCGTGTTAGGTTTTCGCCCCAACCCTAAATTAAAACACCCCTTTGACTTGACACAAAAGTCAAAATCCCACTTGTACACTGGATACACACTTGCACCTAATAAAATATATTAAAAAATAATCCAATATTTTTGATGCAAAAAACTCAATTAAATTATAAAAGGTCAGCAGCACCTTTTACATATCTTCATCTTGTACACTTTCTCCTCAAGAAATCACAGAAATGGCGGACTGGGCTTTACAAGCTGTCATCAGACCTAAACAATATGATGATGATTACTTTGGATCCATTGATACCAAGAAAGAATATGATCAAGCTCTTCTCTTCTGTTTCCCTCACCTCTTTGATCATCAAGCATCTACACCCGCCATGGAAACAGTTGTTGGAGATGAACTAGACCAGCTTTACAAGCCTCTTTATCCTATTTTTGGTACTGAGATCGAGCTTCCTCCTCCTCCTGCTGGTGCTGCCGATGCTGATCTTCAGGTAATTCATCATCATCATCATGATCCTTACCAAGAAGTTCAACAAGATCAAGAACAAGCTGATATTAAGACCTATTGTGGGTCTGCTTCAAAGATCTCTCAACTTGCACCAAAGCTCAAGAAAAGGTGTGTGTGTGTGTGTGTTTTTCTTGAAATACCCACAAACCATGCATGTGATAATGAATTTTTGGTTACATATCTAGAAATTCACCCAATAGTATTGATACTTAGGACCATGCATTAAGACTATATATCTTTCAAACATTTCTGGAACTATTTTCTTGATCAATTAACGGGATCTTCTTCTTTTTCTCGATTGTGATGTTTGTGTGTATTTATGACGATTTTAAGTGACCCCTTTTTGCCTGTTGGTGTGTATAAATTAACAGAAAGAATCAACAAAAGAGGGTGGTGGTTCAAGTAACAGCCGATGGCTTGTCTTCGGATCCATGGGCTTGGCGTAAATATGGTCAAAAACCAATCAAAGGTTCAATCTATCCAAGGTAAATACAACTGTTTTCGTTTCCGACTTCAGTCTTCAAACTTCATCATGAGTTTGACAAAATAAAGATGATTTTATGACAATTATTTAATGATTGAGTTATTAAAACGAATACTAATATTATGATGTTCGAATTTTACAGAAGCTATTATAGATGTAGCAGTTCAAAAGGGTGTATGGCAAGGAGACAAGTTGAGCAAAGTTGCACCGATCCAAGCATCTACATTTTAACCTACACGGCGGAGCACAACCACCCACAACCAACTCGCCGGAATTCCTTAGCCGGAATCAACCGCAACAAATTCAAGGCTACTCCAAAAAGCCCTACTATTAGCGACGGTTGTAAAACCGTCCCAATAACCATGGACTCGCCCTTTAATTCTCCAACAACCCCTTCAGTTTCATCAAATGACGAGGAAGTCCTCCAACAATCAAATATCAAACAAGAAACAATGTTTTACAGTAACTTTGACGATCAAGGACATACAATGATGACGGGTATGAATGAGGTTTTTAGCGACGATTTCTTCGAGGGTTTGGAGGATTTATCATCTTATAATTGCTCAAACAGACAATTTCCTCATGTGTTTTCTTAGCTCTCAATTTCTTGTTTGAGCATATGATGTTATTTTTTGTAAATTCACTAGTAGAGTTAATAATGTTGGACAATAATGCTTTTGCATTATATTTTACATATTAATTACATATGTAAATTAGACATAAATACAGAATATTTATGGAACTCGTACCTAGAAACAATGGCGGATATTCAATCATAAGACAAAGAAGTTTAATTTACAGTGTATTATCTACAAAGTCTGTATGTGTCACACTATCCCCGTTCAACGTGTCCAAATATCTATCTTAATTTGGTGAAAAGGTTTCCTGGATCCACTACTTCCCTCAATTCAGTGTTAGGTACAATATGAAATGAATAATAAAGTTTATAACGCTTAAAGAAATAGCTCATTTAGTACTCAAAATATATAAAATATCTTATAAATATCACATCAATAATGATATTTCTTATTAATTATGTTACAACTAGCTTGGAAGTTAACAAAGCTAGCTCCATGAAGCATTTAAGTAATTTTTGTATATAGTATATATATGTGTGACTATTTTGGATTACTGCCCCTTCGAGTATACGAAAAGAAGAATTATGTATAACTGATTTTCATGATAGGGAATTGAATCGATTCTTTTTTTTTTCTCAAAAAGTAATGAAATGAGGAATTTGTGGAGTAAGATACCATGTTTAAAAATAAACATAGGTTCAGTTAACAAATGTTTCATATTTACTTCAATTACATTTTCTAAATCATATAAATATCTTTATCTAATTAATGCGTTATCATCATAGGTTTGGATTCTTTTAAGGGTTAATCATAACCAAACTGTTTTGGTAGCTCTGCAGTTTGCACCAGGTATCATTTTTTTTTTACTTGTATTATATATATATATATATATATATATATATATATATATATATATATATATATTGGACTTCTTTTTATTTTTGTCTCAATCCAACCCACAATGATGTCTTCCTACGTAAAGTAAAAAGATTTTGTAAACAATCTTTAACATACTTTTTACTTGCAAATTTCAAAAAGAAAACACTACGAAGGTTCCTTTATATTTAACTTAATATTAAATGAGATATAAACCATATCAGCAAGATCGTGGTTTGTACGTACTACATATGTAAAGACTAAGTCTTTATCGTTTATATTATTTTTTATTAACTATTTTCATATTGTATAAAATAGGATTCTCTTGAAGTTATTTGAACAAATCAAACATATATATATATATATATATAGATATATATATATATATTAGATATATATATATATATATATATATATATCTATATATATATATATGGAAAAGTGAATATACATTACAATCTCACCTAAGATTAGATACTAAACCTCATGAAAATACGTTGTTTTACTATATAAAGATTGCGGTTAGGAGATTCACGATTAACAATTGAAGATGTAGATTTAAGATCGACACAATAATTTTGATAAGGAAGCAAAAATATTGATAATCTTAGATCTTCCTGACAGTGGAAAAAGTAATTTTCACTGGGATGAAATAATAAACGATAATGGGGGAAAGAAAATACGGATAGTAAAACGATGATGAAGGAAAGAAATGTTATCGAGGATGATATATTTACCAAATGAAAACCAAATCAGGTATTGATTTACTAAGTTAAAACAACATATTTTATAGGTTTAGTACCTAAGCTTAGATAGGGTTGTAATGTATATTCTCTATCCCCATATATATATATATATATATATATATATATATATATATATATATATATATATATATATAAGTTCAATTGAGAAATATAAAAAATGTTGAAATTTAGGAATCATTCTCAGTCACTCATTTATTTTTGCCGCAAAAGCCTTCGTCGTACGAGCGGAAATGGGAAAGGAATACACATTTGTTTTCCAACAAAACATGTTTCCTTAAACCATGCTAATCTTTACTTTAATATATATAAAAACATAGTTTTTTTTTCGTTTTTTTAATTTTTAAGAAAAAATTTTATCGAAAAATGATTTTAAATATACCAAATTCATAATTTTTTATTTTCTACAAATAAACATCCATATTGATATAGTTTTAAGATAAAATAAAAAATTTATTTTTTTGTATTTTTTGCTATCGTTATTCATAAGTGAATAAAAATGCATCAGAGTTTTAGTACATCACATTCGTTATTCACTTATGAATAAACAATATAATTAATTTTTTTACAGATTAAGTATCATTCATATATAAATATAACATATAATAAACTTTTTACAGCTTACATCAACTCTCGTCACATGTTATATTCACATATCAATAAAACGTGTATTGATTTCCTCACAAGTTATATTTATATACGAAGAACATATTTATCATAATTTTCTTACAATTCATTTGTTATTCCTATATGAATAAGTAGTTCAAAATTTCAAAACACTTCAATTTTTTAACATACTACTTATTTATATATGAATAACAAATGAACTGTAACAATAATCTTAGAAATGTTTTATTAATATATGAATATAACATATTACGACAATTAATACACGTTTTATTCATATATAAATATAACATATGACGAAAGATGATGTAAAAAAATATATTTTAGGTAAGAAAACTTTATAACGTGTTATATTCATATATAAACGATACTTAAACTGTAAAAAAGTTAAGCATGCGTTTTATTCATAAGTGAATAACGAATGTACTTAATTAAAAATCTGATGCGTTTGTATTCACTTATAAATAACGATAGCTGAAACTCTAAAAATATAATTTTTTTATTTTATCTTAAAACTATATCAATATGGATGTCTATTCATAGAGAATAAAAAATTATGAATTTTGATATATTTAAAATAAATTTTCGATAAAAATAGCATTCTAGAAATAATAAAAAACAAAAAAAATGTTTTTGTTTATTTTAAGGTAGGGATGTCAAAAACCCCCACAGGACCCCGTTCCCGTGGGACCCCGATACCGTACGGGACTAAATTATCAAAAAAACTGGGAGTGGGAGCGGGGGCGGGGGCAAAATTAGACCTCGTTTATTGTCGGGACCGGGGTTGGGAGTCGGTATTTCCGTCCCGTACTCCCGCGGGGGCCCCAGTTGTACATTTATGTAAAAAATATATATTTAATATAAAATACATATAAAAAATACATTTTCTAATTTTAGATTTAGGCTATTAATGGATATTGAAGATGTAGTGAATTGGTCATATATTTTTGGACATGTCAGTATTTTATATTTGTAATGTTGGATTTGTCGTATTTTACATTTGTAATGTTGTAATTGTCGTTTTGTAATGTTGGATTCGTAATGTTGGATTTTAATTTTTTAGTTTCTAAAAGATTAGGTTTTAAGCTTTTAAAGTAATTAAAAATTATCTTTTTGGCCTAAAACAAAGCAGTTTTTTAGCAAAAAAAAAATCAAATTTTAAGCCTATAAACAGGAGGAATGGGGGCGGGACCGGGGGCTATGTAAATGGGGGATCTGGGGGCAGGGGCAACAACTGATTTCGGGGGCGGGGCGGGGGCAGTTATTTCTGCTCCCGTTTGGTCTTGTTGACATCCCTATTTTAAGGTAATGATTAACATACTTTAAGGAAACATGTTTGGTTGGAAAAACACATATGTATCCGTTACTCATTCCGCCGGTACGCCTAAGTGTTTTGCGGCAAAATAAATGTGGGGCTGAGAATGATTCCCCTATTCTCAACCCTTTTTTTCTCAATTGAACTCTCCCCTCTCTCTCTCTCTCATTTTAAATTTTAATTTTAAAAAATATTTAATGTTTACATTTTGATATTTAATTTTTTTATTTAACTCATTCAATACATGGGTCTCACAACTAGTATATATATATATATATATATATATATATATATATAGGGTTAGGTTATTTTATTTTTACTAACTATTGTGTGCCAGAATGCATAGATCTGGACCACCGGATGGAATAGACTCAAAGGTTATGATCTGAGGGTCTATGATATTACAATAGGGTAACATATACCATATAATCACACAAATTTTAGTATAAGGGCATTTTAGTCAATTAACCTATATTAAAAAAAAGGAAATTTTCGGATTTTAGGGATAATTAATTCCTGTATTTTTAAAAATCTAAATATTTTAATTAATTCAAATTTAAAAATCCGATTTTATTCTGTCAGAATGACAGAATGCCAACCATAAACTATTAAATATATTTTCGATTTTATTCTTGCAGAATATATTTCCAATGCAGATATGTTTGATAATTAACCTGATTTAAGAATTCTAGATATTATTCATACACATCCAAATATTATTCATATAAATCCAAGTTGGGTCTATAATTTTATTCTTAATACACATCTGAAATAAAATAGAAATTCATATATATTCTTGCAGACTAATATCCTTATTCATTTTAATATAGTTATACATATTCTAACAGAATATCATCAAAAATGAATAAAATTCTTAAAAAATAGCATTCTAAAATCTATAATTATTGAACAAATACACTTGATCTTCTTCAGTGGTCAATATAATCCACTTGATCTTTGCATATATACTTGCTGTTGAACTAGATTCCAAATATCTCTCTCGTATGATCAATATTGAATTCTTTTTCCATGCAATTCTAAAAGAATAAGATACATTACTCGTTAGTATTACTAGTTAAACAAATATATTTGTTGTTAACAAAAATTCTCAAAAGACATTCTAACAGAATGCATTTATATAAATAAATTCTAACAGAATACATTACAGAATGCACTTAAACTTAGTCTTTTCTTCTATATGCATAAACATTCTAAAACATGTATAAATGTATTCTGACAGAATTACTAGCAACACATGTTTTATGTAATATTTATATTCTCATAGAATGAACATGTGTTTGCATTCTGATATGAAAAAAAATCCCCAACTTAACCCTTTTCATGCCAATTCTGACAGAATGTCAACTTAACCCTTTTCATCAAAGACAAGTTTAGAACAATTAAATATCAAGAACAAATGGAAAATCAAGAACAATCTATCATTAAAATAAAATCAAATAGTCTTGGATTTGCCTTCAATTTACCTTCGCATAATTAAAATAAAAAT